CTTCTTCACAACTACAGAAAAACCATGATTTGTCATATTCGTATGGAAGGAAATACTTTGTACTATATGGTTCGTTTCTATACCAAATTAGTAGAATGAAATATTTTATGACCTTGACTGAAACTCTTCAGCATCGGAGGTTTAAACGAATAAGACACAGCTATGAAAAATCAACTTGATTTTTAGTTGAATTAAACCTTGTAAAGTTCAAAAACGAAAGTTTAATAGTGATAGGGCAGGGATTTATCAGCCTATTTTGGGAAATGCCATTTTGGGGGAATTTATTGGGAAAAAATTATCGACTTTTTGATGAAATTGGGAAAAATTAAAAATGTTGCTTAAATCATGTATTCAGGTGTAATTCATTTAATATTTCAGCATGAACTCTAATTTGGGCAACCAAACAGACAATAATATATATGATCCAACTTCATACAAGATCAATTATGAATAACAGACTAATAAAAGTAAAATTGACTTCAATGAGTATTAAGTGTTTATACAACTTAGGGTAGTACATGTGTGTATGAGATTCCAATTTAGGTCATTACAGAATCTGTTTCTGGAAAATAGAAACCTTAATTCTGCAAGTATACATTTTCTCAAAGTCCTCTTTAATATGTATTAATGCATTGAAAATATATTTTTCTATTTGAAATAATGCCTACAGTTCTTACCATTTACTCGTAGATCAATTGAGTATGTAGAAATAAAACTTAATAAATCTATATAATTACACAATATCACCATTTTCAGAAAAACGGAGGAAATTTGGATTAAAAGTTGGCGATGTTTTGACAGTGTTTTTAAACATGTGTTATGACTGTAGCTTTGCTAAATGACTTAAATAAATGAAAATTACAGACAATCTGACAATTTTCCTTGTGTTTTCCCAAGATAATTAAATATAAAAGCATTGTTCACCAATTGGGAAAAAATACTGCCAAATTGGGAAAAACTGAACTCATTTTCAATTGGGAATGGGGCTGAATTTCGGCCCCTGGGAAGGTACTGATAAATCCCTGTAGGGAGTTATAAGGATGTCCAAAGTAAAAAGTTGAAAGTAGACGAAAAGTTTAATTCAACCCATTTTGATGGTAACAAGTGGCCGAAGTTCGAGCAAGATTTCCCATCGAATCACTTTGTGTGACACTAGTCCGAGATTCAGAAGAGATTGTCAGTACAAAATTTTTAGTCTCAATGAATCTCACTGAGATTAGAATAGAGCCACAATGGGCAATCAAAGTTTTTAACTTACAAAAGAATGAATAGAAAATATATCTTCAAAAATCTTTCAAGAACAGCAAAGCCATGATTAGTTATATTTATATGGAAGCATCCTCAGGAAGTGTAGATTCAGGTTTGTTGACATCATGACCCCCATTGGTGGGAAAGGGCCATAATTGGCGATCAAAGGTTAAAATTGGAATACATAAGAAAAGCCTTTAAAATTCTTAATTCTTTTCTAGGGCAGTGCAGTCATGATTGATCAAATAAATATGGAATCATCCTCAAGTATTGTAGATTCAAGTTTGTTCAGATCATGACCCCGGTGGTAGGGAGGGATCACAATGTGCAATCATTTACAGACCCTAAAACGTGCTACTACACCACTTGCACGGTATGGTTCGTTTCGTTTTGTGTACGGTACGGTTCGCTTCTTGCACGGAACAGTACGCTTTTTGTACGGTACAGTTCGCTTTGTGCACGGTACGGTATGCTTCTTGCACGGAACGGTACGCTTTGTGTACGGTACGGTTCGCTTTGTGCACGGTACGGTACGCTTCTTGCACGGAACGGTTCGTTTTGTGAATGGTACGCTTTGGTGAACGGTATGTAAATTAAGTGGGCGGAGCCTGTACGCTTTAGTTTATGATTGGCTATTTCATTAAGTCGTTTATCTCTTTATAAAGATAAAATATCTTTATTTTATATATTAAATGGAAGGGCGGTGTCGCAAGCATTTATTAATAAGTTTTTTTTAAGTTAAAACTGTTATAAATATTTCCTTTTTACAGCTATATTTTCGTTATTACGTGTAACTAGTCGTCTTATTAACTGTATCTTTTTTTTTTAATTTACTTTCTCTTTGAACTACTTTCAATTTTTAAAATAAAATAATTTTAGTTGTCTATTTATTATCTTATTTTGTACACTATCGCCTTATGGTTCAATAACTTGGAAATAAATCGAACATATCAACAAACACTGGATGAAAAGGATAACAAGGATGAAAAAAATATTTTGGTTGCGTCGCCATATAGGCCTTTCTGTATTTTTTTAAAAGAATAAACGTGCATCTGTTTTTTTTTTAATTTCCTAATTGAATACAATTATTATTTTAAATATTCACTTATCACACTTTCAAACAAAAGAGTTTGATTTTATAAATCCCTCATGCTTTCATTTCTTCTACCATTCTTTTTACGTTCTTGTTACTGTTGCTTCATTAAAAAAAAAACATAAAAAAACAAACAAAAACAAAACAAAACAAAACAAAAACTAAAAAAAAAACAAACAAACAAAAACATTTTTTCTCTTGACTGAATGATCAGACAAATAATAAAAAAGGTAAGTTATTTTTTTCATTTTTTATTTGCGAGGAATTATAGTTTTCTTTTTACATAGATTTCTTTGGTGTATGGCTCACTAGGAAAAATACATTGAAAAGTAATCGGTAGAAGTGTACACAATTAGTGCAAAATATTACTTCATTTTTTGTGCGCGTAATTGTTTTCCTTTTTGCATAAATTTTCCATCAATGTGTTAAATCGCATTTCGAAAGGGTTACAATCACGAAAACGGTTAAGACAGCTACAATTCCATCTACAATGTATAAATGTATATAATTTATATTGACTTCAAGACAGATTTCCGAAATAAATAATATGTCAAAATGTTAGAAATAAATAGTCCGGTTTCAATTATGTAGAAAATAAATAATATGCAGTCATGCATGTCCTCAAAAACTTTGAAAATGAATAATTTTCCCATGCCGGGCGCTAACCCCCACCCCCTTTGTTTCCCTGTCAAACTCAACTTTTTTTATAAGATCTAGAAGAAAAGCTGACTTCACATAGAATTCTGTTTATCTGCCGATTAAAACTGGTTCATTGTTGTAGACTTACTGTTTAAGACAGCAAACTGTAGATACACGTGTAAATGTAGGCATATATGGACTAACAGGATTAGATACAGTTCAATATACACAGCTTAAGTTTTTACCTGTGCACATGTGATGACAATACTTGATCGAAATATTCAAATGTTTTAGAGTAAATAACGAAAATATAGAAAGACGTCAGTCTAGATAACGAGACCATGGCAAGAACTGTAGTGTTTCTATAAAAAAAAAATATCCAGCTTGTTTTTGATTACGTGTATTAAACTGAAAATTCCATGCGAAAATGTGGCGATCGAACTTTTTGACAGTATGTTATATTGGCGATAACATCTTGGGTTGGTCAGATGAGTGTAAACCAACACATATTATTTATATAAACATCGCTTTTATTTATTTATTTCTAGTGATTGTGAGGCGTTTACATTTTAACATGTCCGCTTTCAAATTGACAATTTAGGCCGTAATTTTTTTTTTTTGATTTTTGTTGTTGTTGTTGCATTTTTCCCAAAAACTATTACATTAATAAGAAATGATTTTAAGGGCTTGATTTCAGAAAATAGCACAGAATCCTAATACATTTTTCAATGTGTCTTGGTTTCCGAGAACGTTTGAATAGAGACAAGAATTGGGTAGATAAAAGCTATAGAAATAAACGATAAAGTATATAATTCACTTTTATTTATTATAAATTGTACACAAAAATATTACGATGCTGCATTTAATATGAAAAAAAAATGTTTGTCAAGCACAACCCGATCATGCATAGCGAATAAGGAACCGCCTCACACTCTGTCGAGTTGTTTTGAAGTCGTTAACTAGTTTTGAGTAGTTTCCATATATTAACAGATGTAAGTCCAGATGCATGGTACTTAATAATAATAATTTGAATCTCTAGCGTTATTTTCCGCCCTTCTTCAACGGGCGCTGCGTTGAAAGAAATAAAAGAAAATTACTTACTGTAATTGGTCATTGCAAGATTCGGAATGCTTTCAGGGCATGGCTTGCATAATTATTTAAAAAATTATTCATGAACGGTACGGTTCGCTTTGTGCACGGTACGGTACGCTTCCTGCACGGAACGGTACGCTTCTTGCATGGTACGGTTCGTTTTGTGCACGGTACGGTTCGCTTTGTGCACGGTACGGTACGCTTCTTGCACGGAACGGTACGCTTCTTGCACGGAACGGTACGGTACGTTTCTGAGGTGTAGTAGCACGTTTTAGGGTCTGTAGTTTTAATCAGTAAATAGAAAAAAGTCTTCTTCTCAAGAACAGTAAAGACATGATTAATTATATTTATATGGAAGCATCCTCAGGAAATGTAGACTCCAGTTTGTTGAAATCATGACCCCTGTGGTTAGGGGAGGGGCAATAATGGCTGAGCAAACTGTTATGTTGAAATGCGTAGGAGAAACATTTGAAAATCATCTTCTCTAGAGCAGTGCAGCCATTGATTAATCAAATTTATATATGGAAGCATCTCAGATAGTGAAGATTCAATTTTGTTCAACTCATGACCCCTGGTAGTAGGGAGAGGTCACAATGTGCAGTCAAAGATTTACATCGTGATATATAAGGAAAAACCTTTAATAAAAATCTTCTTGAAACAAAAAAAATCATGATTATTAGTCATATTCATCTGGAAGCATCCTCATGCAGGTAGTGTTTCAGGCTTATTCAAATCATGACCTCTGGAGCGTAGGGATGGGCCACAATGGATGATCAAAGTTTTCTAATAGAATAGAAGATAAAAGTATAGGAAAAAAATCTTGAAAATTTTACAAAAGCCATGATTAGTCATAAAAAATATGGAAGCATTTTAGGTAGTATAGATAACTTTGATCAAATCTTGACCCCCACCCCCTTCCCCGGGCCACTTTTTAGCTCACCTGAGCCGAAGGCTCAAGTGAGCTTTTCTGATCACATTTTGTCCGTCGTCCGTCCGTCTGTCCGTCTGTCTGTCCGTCTGTCTGTCTGTCTGTCCGTCCGTCTGTAAACTTTTAACATTTTTGACTTCTTCTCAAGAACCACTGGGCCAATTTTGACCAAACTTGGTACAAAGCATCCTTGGGTAAAGGGGAATTTAAATTGTTAAAATGAAGGGCCAAGTCCCCTCACAAGGGGAGATAATCAAGAGAAGACAAAAATAGGGTGGGGTCATTAAAAAATCTTCTTCTCAAGAACCACTGGACCAGAAAAGCTGAAACTTATGTGGAAGCATCCTGGGGTAGTGTAGATTCTAAATTGTTCAAATCATGACCCCCCGGGGTAGGGCGGGCCACAATAGGGAATCCAAGTTTTACATTGTAATATATAGGAAAAATCTTTAAAAATCTTCTTCTCAAGAACCACTGGGCCAGAAAAGCTGAAACTTATGTGGAAGCATCCTGGGGTAGTGTAGATTCTAAATTGTTCAAATCATGACCCCCGGGGGTAGGGCGGGGCCACAATCTGGAATCAATGTTTTACATAGAAATATATAGGAAAAATCTTTAAAAATCTTCTTCTTAAGAACCACTGGGCCAGAAAAGCTGAAACTTATGTGGAAGCATCCTCAAGTAGTGTACACTCTAAATTGTTCAAATCATGACCCCCGGGGGATAGGGCGGGGCCACAATAGGGGGAATCCCAAGTTTTACATTGAAATATATAGGAAAAATCTTTAAAAATCTTCTCAAGAACCACTGGACCAGAAAAACTGAAACTTATGTGGAAGCATCCTGGGGTAGTGTAGATTCTAAATTGTTCAAATCATGGCCCCTGGGGGGAGGGTGGGGCCACAATAGGTATTACAAGGGGGGAGTCTGGTAATGAACAGCATGGCCAAAGTTACTCAGGTGAGCGATGTGGCCCATGGGCCTCTTGTTGTATTTAAAATTTAATAAAGACTGATTTCTGCTTTTTTTGCTGCAGGTAAGTGATGTGGCACATGGGCCTCTTGTTTTGGGAGGGGTCAATATGGGGGTTATTATAATGAATTATATTAGTAATTTTTATTTTCTTTGGAAAAGTTGGGTTTTTGCATCACCTTAGCAAAGGCTCCAGTGAACTTTGATGGAAGCCCATTGTCAAGACTAAAAATCATGGTCTCTTGGTCTATGGATCACCCCCCCCCCCCCCCCCCCCCCAGGGTGGAGCAAAGTTGGACATATACTGAAATCTCCTTAAACTCTGCAAATTATCTTCTGTTCATAAGAATTTAACAGGAAACTGTTTGCCTAATTATAAATTGAACCTTAGCAATTTATTAAAGTAAATGTGAAATTTATGGGGCCTGTGCCTATGGTTGAGGCCCCGAGGGTGACATGGCTCAGTTGGTCATATATTGAAAACACATTGTGTCTTTGATGATCATTATACCCCAGCTCCAAAGGAGAGGGGGTATACTGTTTTACCCTTGTGTCTGTCTGTGTGTCCATGTGTTCATGTCACAGTTTTCTCAGCAACTACTCATCGCAGATGCTTGAAATTTTAGCACAGTCTTTGTTTAGGCATGCCATATGGTGGGATTCATTTTTGTACGAATTCAGTGTCAATATGAGGAGGTATATTCACATCAGAGTGTATATTTACAAAAGAGTTTATTCACATCAAAGCAGGGGTATTACTAGTGAGAACTCACTCACAGACTTCTTGTTGACTTTTGCATAATTATATGTAAATGTTGCTTTGGTCTATATCACTGCAGTTGTATTTAATTAGCATCCTGCATGAAAATGAAGGAACCCTATAAGAATCACATAGTCTACTGTATTTCTCTGTCCATTTAGGTCCATCTACACTTGTTTGTCAAACCATCCATCTGTCCATCACCACTTTTGTTATGATCTGGCTACTCAAACAGTTTTAGACAGACGAAGGCTCAAGTGAGATTTTCTGCTCAAAATTTGTCTGTAAATGTCTTTCATTGTCGTCATCTTAAAATTTTTATAATTTCATCTTCTTCTCCAGAGCCACTGGGCCAATTTCAACCAAACATGATTTAAGTTTGTTCACAGGATCTTTCAAGGAGAGATAACTAAATATTTGTGAAAATATAGTGGCATCTTTTAAAAATCTTTTTTCAAGATTCACTGGCTAAGAAAAGATGAAAGCTTCATTACATACTCTAGATTCAAGTTTGTTCATATCATAACCCCCAGGGGTAGGGCAGGGCCACAATTGGGGGTCTGAGTTTTACATTGGAATATATAGGAAATGGCTTTAAAAATTTTCTTCTGAAGAACATCAAAGCCTTGATTAGTCACAGTATTATAGTAGGGTAGGTCCACAACAGTAGGTCAAAGTCTACCATAGAAATATATAGGAAATATCTTTAAAAATCTTTCTTCTAAAAAACAGCAAAACCATTATTAGTCATATTTATACAGAAGCAACCTTAAGTATTGTAGAATCAATTTTTTTTTCAAATTATGACCCTCAGGGGTTAGAGAGGTGCATAACAGAGGGTCAAAGTTTTATATAAAAATATATGTAGGAATCATCATGAAAAAATCCTCTGCTCAAGAACAGCAAAGCCATGATTAGTCATAGTATTATAGAAGCATCCTCAGGTAGTTAAGATTCAAATTTGTTCAAATTTAGGGTGGGTAGGGTGGGGCCACAATGGGCGATCAGAGTTTTACATAAGAAATAAGAATACATAGGAAAAAATCTTTAAAATTCTTCTGCTCATGTCCAGCAAAGCCATGATTAGTAATATTGATATCAAGAAGTATCCTGGGGTAGTAAATTCAAGTTTATCCCCAATAAACTTTTCAATACTGGACTGATTTCTGCTTTTTTCCTAGACAATCTGCTCAGGTGAGCAATGTGGGCCATGTGTCTCTTGTTAATGAAATGTTTTCAATTTTTGAACATTAATACTTTACTCTAAGAACAAGACACCTATAGAGTTTATGAATATAACTCTAAGAGAACAAGATACCTTATAGAGTTTATGTTCATTTAACTGTGTACAATAAAACACGCTTATAACGAAGTGCCAGGGACGGACAATTTTGCTTTGTTATAAGCATGATTTGTTGTGTTTGTTAAGTTTACAATATATTTAATTTTAAAGTCAAAGGGAATGAAAATCACTTTGCTATAAGCGTCATTTCATTATACATATGTAAGCGTGTTCGCTATAACCATGTTTTACTGTATATCTGTAGTATAAACTTTTAAATGGTTATCCATAAAACTTCTGTTGTGATGAGATAACTCAAATACAGTTGAACTTTGGTTTCTTTAACTCCGATATCTTGAATACCATGGATATGTCAAAGTGATCTGGAAGTCCCAACCACTTACAGTATTTTACCCAGAGTTCATTACAGACCATATTTTCAGTCTAGTGCATGCCACACAATGCAATTGCTTTTGAGGTCTGAATCTCTTCTTTTTTCCTCACAGTAGGCTAAAATATTAATTACTAAAGGACTTTTAAAAAGCTAAAAGTCAGGCTCTTATGTATTGGAGTAATTTTATATGATGAGTCTATCAAATACTTAAGGACATACGCAACGTAGTTTGAATTTTATTGTCTTTTTCCCTGGAGTTGAAGAGTTCCAATACTTAAAGGAACTGTGTGCTACATTTTAATATCTATATATGGTATTTCACACTTCTTCTAAAACAAGTTCGGATAAACAAAACATCTAGAATATATGTTTAGTAATTTTTCTTTGAATTATACAAGAATATGCATCGTTATGTTTTCAAAACCCCTGGTAAATATTGCATGCAGATTTTTTGTCTACGAACATCTGAAGGCACTATAATCTTAAATTAAACACCCAATTTTATGTTAACGCCCCCAAAATCTACCTAATTCAAGATCAATAGTATACCGCTTGACAATCTTTAAAAAAACAATAGCTTCTGATTTGATTGACAGGCCAGCTACGTGGGCTAACTGATAATCTGAGTTTGCATGTCTTGAAAACAATTACCTCGTCACGCATCAAACACTTTCATGTACTGCGTGAAAGGTCGCTTTGTATACACTCTGTTAAAAAAAAATCATATCGCTGTTATATTGGTTGATAATTTTATTTTTTAAAAATAATTAAACAGTGACTTCGTGATTTTTTTTTTTTTTTTCTATCTCCACTGCTATTTTGTACTTGTTAGCGATATGACGTCCAAGATAACTATAGAACTTTTTGAAGAAAAATTAGATGCTTTTTATATCCAAACCTGTAAACAGGGCATAAGTACACGGACCTTCGGAAATGGTGAATATTTGGACACCATTGTTCACAAGAAAAGTAAATAATATTCCGATCGTGGTAAATGTCCACACAATAAGTGGAATCTTTTATTTCAATATTCACACTTAATATTTTCTAATAATTTCTTTTTATTGGCGATTAAAATACTGATATGATTGCTTTATAGTTTTCACGCGTTTTTTTTTTCTTTTTTAATTTTACGATTGTTAAAAAAGATATGTCTTTTTAATTTTTTTTTCTTTAAAAGATATCGACAAAAACGCTAAGTCTACGAATTTTATATTTCAGTACTTAATTAATTTAAATATTTTCACTCAAAATGCGTAATGTTGACCCTGATTATCAAAAGCCGTACTTCCTGTGTAATGCAGCGTGTATAGGGATTTTTGACATCTTGAGTATTGGGGCTTTCCAGGTAAATAACATCAGTACTACCAAGACCACTCCCCCTCCTCAGGTAACCGTATGGTAAAAAAATTGGGTCTTTAAGAATACCTCAAAAAATTATCAGTAGGTAAGGTATGTTTCATGTGTCCTTCCCCCCCCCCCCCCCCCCCAAATTCCCTTTGCTTAGGACAGTTCAAGCCTTGTTATATTTCACTTTGCTATTGTTGTATAAAAAATGTAAACCATTTTCATTCCTGTTTTTAACATAGTCTCTTTTCTCTTTTAGGTGAAGAGGACCAGAGTGAAGCAGACCTTGAGTGCTGAAGATGCTCTTCAGCAGCCTGAGGAGGTGGCACTGCCACTTCCTGAGCCTGTGCAGGAGCTGCCTCAGGAGAAGCTTGAGCAGACTGTAGAGGTGACTTTGTCATCTCCACTGTGTGTGATTGCTGGCCCTGAGGCAGAACTTGTACAGCCTGAGAAAGTGTGTCTGCCATCCCCTGAGCCTGTTCTGGCTCTTCCTTGGCCAGAACCTGAGGAGACTGTGGAGGTGGCATTGCCATTGCCTCTGTCTGCTCAGGCTCCAGTTGAGGATGAGGTTGGACAGACTAAGGAGATGGAACTGCCGTCTTCCCAGGTTGTTGAGGGTCGTCCTCGGCTTTCTAGCTGCAGGTCACCGATGACAGAGATCCCTCTGGTTCAGCCACCACCAGCGAGGAGTCCAGCAAGGCGAGGCTTCACCGTGGCAGGGGTGGTAGAACATTTATTTAGAGTTATAGATGTTCCTCTGCTTACTGGGGTTGTTTTCCCTTTCTTCCCTGGTTGGTAAGAGTTACATTTTTTTCTTTTTCTTTCCTGGGTTGTCTTTTTTCATTTATAAATAGGGTTAAATTTTCTTCCCCTGTTCTTTAAACTTAATTTCTCAAGGTTAAAACTAGATTAAATTTAATAAATTTTAATTTTTGTTAAATAAAGTTAATAAATCATTTGTGTTTTGATAGGGTTTAATTTTCTTCTCTTTTCTTTAAATTTAGTATCTGAAGACTATAAATTTGTGCTAAAATTTTCCTATTTAAATTTTCTCGTGGATGCTGCATCTAAATATCTCAATGCAAGCACACACCGTTATTTAGACGTTGTCAGTCATGAGAGTA